GAAACAGTTTATGGCATCGCAGGCAGGAAGAAGCAGCAACACCCAGCCTCCCTTTCCCTTTTTATCCCATCCAGGATACAAGTCCATGGGCTGGTGCCACTCTTACCCACTATGCATCTTCTCTTTTCAGTAGATCCATTTAGCCATGTCCAGAATAATGGCAATCCGTTCAGGGAACTAATCTAGTTATCTCACCAGTAAAGCATATTCACATATCTGAGAACTAGCCCCATCTATGAGGAAGTCCAACAAAATGAAAGCTGTAATAAAGTGTATCAATTTTCCTACAAATGACTCAAATTTATCTTTTTTATGGCAGAGTGGTCCTCCTCTGTGTGTAAATACCACATTTTCTCTGTCCAGTTTTCTGTTATTCAACACATAGTCTGCTCCCAGGATTTAGTTATCATAAATTTTGCTGCTATAAACATAGACATTCAAGTACCACTGTAACATAGCATATTTAACTCTTTGAAGAAGAAATAAAACATATGGATATGTGGGTCAAATGGAATTTTCCTGTTTAGTTTTCTGAGAAATTCCCATATTGATTTTCACATTGGCCATACTAATTTATATTTAAAGAGGAAAGAATAGGGTTGTTTTAATTTATTTTTATCTAGTGCTCAGTGACATTGAACATTTTGTCATGTTTTTTAGGCATTCATACTTCTGAGAAATGTCTATTTATTTCACTTGCCCATTTTTTCTTTGGGTTATTTATTTTTGGAAGTATAATTTTTGTGATATACACACTTACTAAATATTACTCCTTTGTCTGAGGAAGTTTGCATTTCCCATCCTGTAGGTTGTGTCTTTGCTTGGTTGATTGTTTCCTTTGCTATTAAGAAGCTTTTAAATTTTACATCCCATTTATTGATTTTTGCTATTGCTTTTTATGTACTTTTGTTCAGAAAGTCTTGCCTGTACCTGTGAATTCAAGAAGTTTACCAACTTTATCTTCCAGCAGGGTAAATGCTTGGATTGTAATCCTTATATCCTTGATCCATTTAGTTTTTCATCCAGTGTATTGTTAGAGACATGGGTCCAACTTCCGTCTTCTCCAGAGAGAGTGCCAGGCTTCCCAGACCATCGTGTACAAAGGCTGCCTTTCTTCCAAGTTGTGCTTTGGCCACCTTGTGAGGAGTAATGAAGCTGACTGAATCTAGAGATGTTTCTGAACCTTCTCTCCTGAAATATACGACAATTTTAGTAGCCATACATTGTCATTTTTAATCACTCTAACCTGGGACAACAACTTGAAATCAATTATTGACAATATAGTTTCTGCCTATTGAAAAGAGGGGATATCTTTCCCTTTTATGATGCACTTTTAAATTTCCTCTTTTAGAAGGCTATAGTTTTCACAACAGAGGATCCTCATTGGTTAGGTTAATTAAGGTATTGGATTTTTCTTGATACATTTTTTTTTTTTTTTTTTTTTTTTTTTTTTTTTTTTTTTGGTGCCGGGAATTGAACTCTTACACTTGTGAAGCAGGCCATGGAGAAACTGACCTAAATCCCTGGACTCTCTTTATAGTATTTTGAATGGTTTTATTGTTCTAATTTATTTCTTTTTGATTTCAATATAGCTGTACAAAAATTCTAAAATGTGGTGCTTATTATCTTTTTTGATTATTATGTGATTATGGACAAATCAGTTTTTTCTTTAGTTATACATTCTCATTGCTGATTCTACTAGTATCAACTCCAGTCTACCTATTGTTATTTAATCTTTTAAAAACATTTTGACTCGATTCCTTTTACTACTATATTTCAATTTTATATGTGTTTATGCCCAATAAATATGCAGTTTTTTTCATAAAATTATTTCTTGGCTTGGGTTCCATTTTTCCTCCATTAAATATTATACATTTTCAAAATACTCAATACAATTACCCATAATTTTTCATTTATGGTAACTACAACTCTTATTTTACTTTACATCACTCCTTCTGTGAGGGATCTCATCTCTTCTATATTACTTAATTGTGCTGAGCCTGGGTCCAGGCCCCTTGTTGGGGCAACACCTGTACAGAGCCAGATCCCTCCAGCTTTCCCCATCTGGGCTCCACTTGCCCCAGAACCTGGACCAGCTACTTTGTTCTTCATGGGTGGGGGCCAAAGAGGATGCATGACGAAGAGACACAGAGTCAGTGCAACAGGCAGGGAGCCAGGGGCTCTTGCCTCTTAGTAGGCAGAGCACGTGCCACCCTTCACCCTGTGTCTGGCTCCTCTCACCTTTATTCACCCAAACAGGGGCACAAGCGATCACAGTAACACATGATTCATCTGCTTTCCAATATCATCAATAGCTTCTCTGGTACACAAGTTAGCCTCAGGTGTCCTGACTTCCCTGGAACCTGCAATGTATCATCCATCACCCTTGAGTGCAGCCTGTCTCCTTTGTTCTCACAGAGGAGGCCAATTGGGCCTCGGTTCTACTCTGGTCAGCCACACTCATTCATACAGCATTCTGGTAAAGTTTTCCAAATGTGATTTAAAGGATTCAAGCGTGTCATGATCCCTCATTACCTTTCCCCTACCCTCCCCACTTTCCCTACACCTTTAGAAAATGAAAAAATGGAAAGGAAGTGTTTGTAAATGGGGAGGGGAGGAAGAGGTGGGGAGGGCAGGGAGAAGGGGAACAAATGGGAACCAAGATCTGTCATGTAGAGGTACAAGATCCCAATGATGAATGGAACTGTACTGTATACCTAGAATGTACCAATAAACTCAATGAGAGAAACAGTAATGACACGGTCACGACATTCCTCTCAGTGTTCGTTGCAGAAGAGTATTGGCGGTATTCATTTCCTTCGTACAGACACCCAGTATATTTTTGTCTCTAAACATCTATGTGTGACCTGTGGTATTTCTGATAATTTTACATTTTAAGCAACATATAAAAATTTTAGGCTATACCACTTACAACCTTCATTTATTTTCTGTATATGGGAATATCATCAAATTTATTAATGCTAATCATTTACTGAACAGAATTTTTAAAGGAACACATGTTTTCACTATTTCCTAAGTACTAATATTTGATAAAGTAATTTATTATTTATTGTTATGTCAGTTTATCATTATGTTCATCTTTTCCAACCAAATTCAAAGATGTTGATTTACCTGTAATGAAGGTAAAATTCTACAAAATATTTTGAAGCCATGAGATCAATAAAATTTGACTGATAGGTATACGTGAACTTGCTAAAGTTAAAATAGTGCTTTGAGCATCACTTTATTTATTCAGACTTTTTTTTTTACTGTTTCCTGGTGCTGAGAGTCACAGGGGGGAAGGGTTTAAGGATCTTCTAGAGCTGAAAAGTGGAGAGGAGGAGAGACCCAGAACCAGCACTGTTAGTAACTCTAGTTCAATGGGTCTAGGGCAACTTTTTTAGCAAATAGCACAAAAATAGACCAATTAGAAGAGTAGAATGAACCTCCACATTATGTTTACTACATTACAAAGAGGGTTTAAAGATTGTAATGCTTTTCTAGTGGAGGCAATGTTGTCAACCTTTAGCTAATTATGGGTATAGCAGCAGAGACTCGCCAGCAATGTGCACGGCAGTTTCCCACGGAGGGTTTCCTGGATCTGATCTATAAAGCATTTGGTATCCCTGAAAGGAAGTAGGTCAAGCTGTCCGCCTGATCTACATCTTCCTGTTCTACCTCCATGAACAGGTTCAGAGTTTGCTGAGGATGCAGCGACTTCTCAGAAGAAACTGAAATACACACTGGGCCAACATTAAGCCATCCACAGGGAGACATCCATGGGTTTGTCCGGATCTAATCAGCAGCCAGGGCTTAGGGAGAACTGAGGAATTCTTAGAAACTATCCTTGAAGAGTCAAGGTGCTAGTTTATGTAGCTGTAAATAAATTATTCTGGCACAAACCTGTGGCCTGTAGAAGATGACCAGAGCTTCGTGTGCATCTACAGAGCCAGCCAAGACCAAGGGAGAAAACTTCTGAGACCCTGCACTGAGAACCCAGTTCAATCATGTCAGGACTGTACCTCATTCAAATGCTAACAACACACGAATCAGAAGGCTACAATTGTGGGTATTATCAAGAAAAATAAAACACAGTAGCTGGAGTTTTAAGTGGATAGTTGATATTTTTATTTGACTATACCAATTTTCCTCATAAAAATGTATCTATCTTAATTGAATTGAACCTCATGTATAGGCCATAATAAAATTATCTATGGAAATATCATAAATGAAATTTACAGAAAATGTACAGATTTCAGAAAACATAGACTTCTCAATTAAAGAAAGATCACATCACCAATTAAGCAATCAATCTTAAAATGTTTACCTACTCCAGGTTCAGCTCATTCAGCACACACAAAAATTAGAATATCTTTCATTTTACAAGTTGCTCTCAGTGGATTCTTATTAATATTTTGTCTCCTGTGTACAAGATTAATATCTGGCATGGAAGCAAATAAATGAGAGCTTCTCACTTCTTCAGTGCCTTAAAGGGCAGTGTTTACAACAAAATATCTGAATTACGCCACAGCCAGAAACCTATGCCTCTACATTTTCCATGAGATGAAGTTGCACTAATTTTCATACTGACCTTAAAAGTGTATGTTTGTTTAGTAATAGCTTGTTAACTTTAACAAAATAAGTCATATTGAACTGAATTAATACAATTTTTCAAAATTAAAATTATTACATATAAAAACAAAATGTATAAAGTATGCAATAAAAATAAGGTACTATGAAGAGAAAATTCCTTTGCTATTGTTAAGAAAGTCATGTATTTACTACTGCAACAAACATTTACTTACATCATACATAGGAGGAGCCACAACAAATGTACAGCTGAACAGATAAGAATGCAATTTTTCACTCTCTTAATTTTGTATGGTTGCTATAAACCCATGAAGTTGAGATAATGCTAAATATGAGAGTTAATTGGTGATTGATTAAAAATTGAAGCATAAGGTATATTAAAAAATAAAACCTAAAGACAATGGCCCATCTCACAGGGCACATTTTACCTTCCCTACCACCTTCATGAAGGCTCTGCTGACTTCCCTGTTGCGTAGGCTGTAGATGAGGGGATTCAGCATGGGTGTGAGGATGGTGTAGAAGGCAGACACCATCTTGTCCCAGGTGGGTGACCGCTCAGACGTGGGCCGCATGTAGATGAACATTGCTGCTCCATAGTACATGCCCACCACCATCAGGTGGGAGGAGCAGGTGGCAAAAGCTTTGCTGCGACCCTCGCCAGATCCCATGCGAGTGACAGCCAGAAGAACACAAGTGTAGGAAGCAGTGATGGTTGCTACGGGGAAGAGGAGCATAATCACACAGCAGACAAATATCATCCTTTCAAATGTCTTGGTGTCTGTGCATGAAAGAGTGAGCAGGGCAGGGACATCACAGAAGAAGTGGGCTATTTCCCTAGATCTACAATAGGAAAAGGTCAGCGAAACTGCTACTTCAATTATACCATCGATGGAGCCAAGAATCCAGGAGGAAGCCACCATGATGGCACAGAGTTTCTGGCTCATGAGCACCTGGTACCTTAAAGGGTGGCAGATGGCCACATAGCGGTCATAGGCCATTGCAGCCAGCAGGAAACACTCAGCTCCAATCAGGGACACAGAGAGGAAGATCTGGGTCCCACAGCCTGCCAGCGAGATGGATTTCCTGCCAGACAGAAAGTTGACCGCCATCTTGGGGACAGTGGTACAGACCAGCATGAGGTCCATGAGGGAGAGCTGGCTGAGGAGGAAGTACATGGGCATGTGCAGCTGGGCATCCAGGAGGATGAGCAGGACCATGACTGTGTTCCCCACGCAGGCCACTGTGAAGATGGCCAGGACCAGGGTGAAGAGGAAGGTGTGGAACGGACTGTGATCGAAAATTCCCAGCAGGATGAAGTCAGAGTTCAAGGTCTGATTCTCCCAGGCCATGGTGAACATTTTCATTTTGGAGATACAACTTTTAAAGAATGGCAGGGATATATCACAGAAATATCAAAGATTTCACTACTACATATACATGCCAATAAAATTATATATACGTAGTAATTGTCTCCGAGTGACCAAGGTTTTTTGTAAATAAGAAACATTAATGTTTATATTTAGCTTAATGTGAGTTTATAGCAAAGGATGCAGCAAGAGCAGAAATCAGTGCAATGGAGACTAAGAAAATGATACAAAAAATAAATGAATCAGAATTGGTTTTTTGAAAGAATAGATAAAATCAATAAACTCTTAGCTCACCCATGTTTTCAGCAGCACAGTTTGTAATAGCTAAAACTTGGAAATAGCCCATTTGCCCATCAGTTGGAAACTGGTTAAAGAAGATGTGGTTTTTCTATAAAATGGAATACTACTCAGCTATAAAGAATCAGAAATTAGATTCATTCATAGGAAAATGAATACATATTGAGGATACACTCCTAAGTGAAATAAATAAGTCACACATGTAAATACTGAATAGTTTCTCTCGTGTGAAAAACTATAATAGTACATAAGATCCTAATGAGATACATGACAATGTAAATTAGGAAGAAAAGAGCTAAAGGTGTAGGGAAAGTGGGAAGGGAAAAGGAAGGGTAATAAGGGAAAAGAAAAAAATACAATAGAATGAAAAATTGGAAATAAGGTGTTTGTAAATGGGGAGGGGAGGAGGGGGTGAAGAGAGGGTAGGGACAAGGGGAAAAAATTAGAACCAAGACCGGTCATGTAAAGGTACAAGATCCCAAAGATGAACATAACTGTACCGTATACCTAAAATGTACCAATAAACTAGAAGAGAGAGAGAGAGAGAGAGAGAGAGAGAGAGAGAGAGAGAGAGAGAGAGAGAAAGAGAGAAAGAGAGAGAGAGAGAGAGAGAGAGAGAAGCAAAGGATGTAAGTAGCTATTAGGAATAGGAAGTTTCATAGTAAATCTCTGTGAGTTTTCTCAAAGTTATTTAATGTAGCTTACATGACAAGTTGACTCAAGTGGTGTAGCAGTCTCCTTTTCTTGTGTGTGGCAAAGGAAATTAATGGTATAGCTGGGGATTTAGCTCAGTGGTGCTGCCGCCTGCCTCACAAGCACAAGGTCCTGAGTTCCATCCCCTCTGTATAAAAAAAAAAAAGAAGAAGAAGAAAATATTTATGTTGAGTCAGTTACCAGTTTTCAGTCCATAGTTGGCTTGTCCTAATGAGAAACATCATATTAGCAGGGCATAGAAGAGGAAAGTTGCTCAATCCATGGCATCCAGGAAGCAGAAAATTTGGGAAAGAGAGCCATGGAAGAGGTGTCTTTGCAGACCTGTGCCTAGTGACCTCCCTGCTCCATCCATTCATCTAATAATGGTGCAATCAGAGCAATCAGTGGTGATCCAGTGTCAATCATCCAATCGCTTTCCACAGGCCCACACTCAGCGCACACAAGCTGAGGGAGGACCTGTTTGATGCCAACCATAACAAATCAGTAATGCAGACCCCTTGTTCACAACTGCACTAAGACTATAAAAATACAGCTTAATTTTGGGGAAATCTATGACTTCCACATTTTCCCTTGGGCTTTCTCTATTGTGCAATGACAGCAAAATTCTGCCTAAGAAAATGTAGACAGAAACTATAAGAGTTGTTTAGGCAAATATTAGGTAAACAGAGAAATGGAGATGCCAGCATCAGAAATACATTAACTGGGATGAGTTGTTACAAATTGAGGGTCATCAAGGAATGAGATTCTCACCATGATGTTTCTTCTTATTCTGTCACTGAGATTAGGTGAATCCAGGAGATGACAGAGTGGCAGAGCCTTTCCAGAAGAGCTGGACTACAGGGGAAAGTAAGCACAGGGTTCCACCTCCTCGATTGTTTACCTGTGTGATCTTAAGGAAACTTGAACTTTTCTGAGTCTTATTTCTGCTCTTTAATTTTGTAAATGTATAGTAGCTATACTCTAAGCAATTGTGAAGACAAAATAAACCTTAATGATAGTATTGAAAAGATTATGTATGTACTTTGCATAAGGGTTTTTTTAAAAATTAAATACTTTTGGAGGTAGCAGAGGCTATCTGTGCTTTATCTCCTGAGTATTATAGTTTATAAAACATCAATTTCCCTTTCTAAAGAAATTTGTAACAGTATTTTGGGGAGAGCTGCAGTGTAGCCCAGGGTAGACCACGAGCTTATCATGTGCAGGGTCTTAGTTATGATCCTCAGCACCAAAAACAAAAAGGGAATATTTATTTGGTGAAAAAGTAACATCTTTGGGCCGGGGATTTAGCTCAGTGGTTCCACCACCTGCCTTGTGAGTGCAAGGACCCGAGTTCAATTTCCTGTACCAAAAAACATAACAAAACAAAAAAAAACCCAAAAAACAAAGAGTAACATCTTTTTCATTCTATTTTATTTCCTTTGTATGCCTTTGTCTCCCTGGGACATATCATCAGCTCTCTTTATTTCATGGCCAATGATACCCTTTAAAAATGTTTTATCCTCCAAATTATTTATCTATGTAGTGACCACAAATTTTGCAAACACACCAACCCTCCAAATGTAACTAACTCCAATTTGAGTTTCCAATTAATTTTAAAAGCCCTACAAATATTTTTTTTGCAGTTACAATACTTATCAACAAAGTCAGCCCCTATTGTGTAGGTAATTACAACCCGTGTTACTCAATTTTTTCTTGTTTTTTTTTTGCTTTTTTCACTCTGCCTAAAACATTGCTAAACTGCTAACTACATTTTCTTTTCCTTTATTTATATCTTAAAAGATAAATAGTAATTTTATATACTTATGGAGCATCATGAGATATTTTGACAAGAGATGTTCAAATCAGGGTAAGCTCATCTATCTTCCTAAGGATTTATAATTTTTCACTATGAGAATATTAAAAAACCCTCCTCAAACATTATCTGTTACTATTACATACTTACAAAAATGGGGATGAAACTGAAAGTCAGTGTTTACACGAAATAATCCAGACTTTAAAAGACAAATACCACATAATCTCACTCATAGGTGGAATGTACAAAAACTTGATTATGTAAGAGTTGTGAGGTGAATGCTGTTTTCTGGGGGTGAAGGAGAGGGAGGGAGAGAGAGGAGGAGAGCTCAGTCACCGGTGCTAACTCACAGTGAGCCAGAAGCAGCAGTCTGATGCTCTTCTGCACAAGACAGTGGCTCCGTGAGATAACAATGAATCACCTAGCTACGAATGTTAATTACATTTCTTAGCTTTTTTCAATTATTCACTTTTGTATAATTCTTTCATTGTATGTTCCAAAGAAAAATCTAGAACTTCCACATTTGTTTATTATAAGTTTTATACCTACAGCTAGGGTCATCCAGGGAATTGAAACATTGCTGGTGTACTGCAATTCATTATATTAAACTTCCACTTCAATTTTATTTGTAGAATGTTGAGTTTTTTTCTACTTAAATTTAAAATCCCCGTTTAGAGAAAGTCTCCAGGGAACACTGTGATTATGCAGCATTAGGGTGCCCTTGTGACCATCAACTAACGACCGCACCTGATGCTTTCATTTGCCTTAGGTTTTCACTGCGGTGCTGCCTGGTGGCTGCTGCCTGAGCCTGAGCTGCCCCGCACGAGAACACCTGCAGAGCTGCACCCTTCACAGCCCTGTCCACATTAGCTCAGAACAGGATCTCCCGGAAAAGCAGTGCGAACTGGCAGAGCTGAAACTCCGGACCAGTTAGAGCTGAAAGCAGCTTTGAGTTATCACTGCTCTGTGGGAAAGGCAACATCTGCAGTGCAGTAGGTGAGATTCAGCCTGCACCTTGCCCTGCCTTACTGTGTTTTGTAATTTTCTAAATGGATATGCAAAGAAGGATACATTTATATTTTATTACACAACCTTGCTTTTTGTGAAAACCCAAACCACAAAGTCTCACTCATTTTTCTATTGTTATCACGGCAGGCTAACGTGGCCAACCTTTTATAGTGTAAAGATGCTGATTTCTGAATGTGCTATCCTGGCTTCCTCACATCCGTCTAGTGTAAGCCACACTGAAACAGCAGGTCTTCCATGTTAGGATGGTGCATTTAAGGCCGGGGTGTGGATCAGTGGTAGAGTGCTTGCCTAGCATGTGTACAGCCCTAGGTTAGATCCCAGTGTGCACACACACGCGTGCACACTTATACAAGTGTACGCTCACACACACACACACACATACAAGAATGCATATAGCTGTAGACATAGTGAGTGCAGGGCTGGCATTGCACCTAAAACAGTGCACATCACTGTTTTACACAGTTTGAATTAATTTAATCACAAGTTATTCATATCAGGAAATCTTTGAAATCCCTTCTAGTATGAGATCAGTAGCCTTTCCTGATTCCAATCACATTCCAATCATATAAGGTGACGTGATAATGAACTCGTTCATTCAACCTTTGGGTAAATATGGAGCAAAGTACTTATATGAGGCTATTCTGAGGCAAAGGGGAATTTGAACTTGTAGGGTGAGAAGAAGAGGAGAAAAGTGTGGTGGTGATTAAGGCAGTTCACAGCAGAGGGAAGCTGAAAGACAGCTTGTATTCACTCTTGCCCTCTCTCTTCCTTTAGATCTGTAACTCACAGCTGCTTCCATTTCCCACACAGAGGGAAGGTTCCGGCATGTGTGAACACACACACACACACACACACACACACACACACACACACACACTGTAGATTGCCAATGGGGCACCAACTGCACTCACAGAAGATAACTGGCCTCTCCAGGGAACTGGCAAATATCAGAAACCTGCAAATCAGGCAAAGTTGGGCTTGCATTCTTATTCTACAAGCAACACTGGGTTTCCAGCCTAATGAGACAATGTATCTGAGATTTTCAAAAACTTTTCACCGTGTAAGTTGTGCCTTAGAGCAAGTCAAATCTTAAAATTCCTCACTACTATCATGTGTCAGTGATACATTCTTGAAATTAATGTCAATGTTA